TATTTAAAATATAAAATCTTTATTCATTTATACAAAAAAAAAAAAAAAAAAAAGGAAAGAAAAAATATATTTTTTAAACATATAAAATTTGATATATATTATTAAGTTAATTTAAACACAGTATGAAACATTGTTAAATATTTGATTCTTGTGTGTTTTTTTGATTTTCAAAATAAGAAAGGGATGGTGGTATATTACTATTAAAAAATATAGTTTTACATAACTTAATCAAATTATTTAAGCCAAAAAGGATGTCTAAATTAATTTTTTTTTTTTTTTCTTCTTTTTTTAAATAATTTAAATTTTCAAAAGAATAAGTGAAATCAATCCATTTTATATCACAATTTAAAGGGTTTTTTTTATCATATATTATTAGTAAAGAAGTAGAACAAAAATAATATAAAGATTGTTCTTCTAACCATAATTTTAAATTTAATAATTTGGGTAAAATAATGTAAACAATATTTTTTAAAAAAATTGTTAAAAAGTATAAAACTTGCTCTTCATTAAGTTTCAAACCAAGTTTTCTGTTTACTTTTAATCTTTTGTTCATATCATCATAGCATTCTTTTATTTCTGTTTTTTTTTTTTCTGCATATTTTTGCAATTTTTCACTTTCACCTAGTTCATTTCTCTGAATTATATTCTTTTTTATTATAAAATCGGAATAAAACTTTTTTATATTTTCATCTTCTAATATATTATCATAATTTATATAATAAATTAAAGAACATATACGAAAACCTAAAGTTTTCTGAGTAGTTTTTAATGAAGTGACACTTTGTTTCCATGATTTTAATAGGCAGTATATTTCATTATTATCATATTTATTAAAATAACTTGGTAAATTTAAGTCTTTTGATGAAATATGAATTATATGTTGATCACTTGTATTAGTATAAAAACTTCTTATTTTTTTCTTCATTTTTGACCATTTTTTTACATATTTTTCCTTTTCATTCCAATCTAATAATTCACTATCATTCAGCAAATCTTCATTAAACGATAAATCATTATCTTTCAATGTATTATAACCTAATTTTAAATCTAGTATTTGTTGATCAGAATATTTTATTTCATTACATACCTTCTTTAATTTTAAAGCCAAATAAACATTATCAATATTTTCATTTATTATATTATTATAGTTTCCTATTTTCCATTTTTCATTTGTTTGATTTGTTGATTTTTCTGAATTAAATTCATTTTTATAATTTTCATTTAATTTTTGTTCACTATCAGAAAATTTACTTTTTTGTTTTTTATTTACATCACTTTTATTATCATTTAATATTTCCATATTTTCACTCTCTATTTTTTCATTTAAATTTTTCTCATTTATCCTATTTTTGTTATTATCTTTATTAATACTATAAATTTTTTCATAATTATTTAACTCTTCATTAGTTTGATTATTACCTAATATTTTTTTAATATTTTCTTTAAAAGAATTTTTTGATATTTTTCCTTCTTTTTCTTTTTCTTTTTCTTTTTCTTTTTCTTTTTCTTCGTTTTCTCTACATTTATATACAGGAACAATATCAAAACATTTCGGAATCAACTTATGCTTAACTAAAAAAGATAAAATAAACTTTTCATTTAACATATTTTCTTTTTCATTATTTTTTAATAATTTATCATCTACATTAATATATTTCTTATCAAAATGACAAAAGTTTTCTTCATATGAATTATTGTGGAAAATTTTTTTTTCTTCTAAATTTATATCTTCTTTAGATAAATTATTTATTTTATTATTTAACTCTTTAAAAATAGTTGTACCTGATATTTTTTCACTTTCATTTGTATTATTTTTAATCAAATGGTTATAAGATGTAATTTCATTATTAATCAAATTTGAATTTATACTTTTACATGAATTTGCATTTGAATTTATGCTAATATCTTCATTTATATCATCATTTAAATTTTTATTATAATTTAATTTTTCTATCTTTTGTTCTATATTATTCAATTCATTACAATGTTTTTTCATTGTTTGCATATCATTATTTTCTATATATTGACCAAATAGAAAATTTTTTTTATTTACTAATTTTGATTTTAAGTTTGTTTTTACAAATTCTAAATTATTATAAAAACTAGAACTTTTTTTAAAAATACTGTCCATGTTAAAAATATCATTTGATAATTTTTTCGAAAAATATAAATTAAGAGAACTTTTTTCTTTGTAATTAAAATTGTTGTCACTTAAATTGTCTAATGAATGATTCTTTTTATTATAATTGTTTTCTATAACTATATTTCCTATAGTATCATCACTATTAATATTTTCTTCATAATTTAACAAATTTGAATTAGTCGTAACGGTCTTACTTAATGTTTCATCTCCCTCACAAGAATTTGATTTATTAAAGCTTTTTTTCATTACATTATACTTTATTTTTTGTATATTATCAATTACTTTATGTAATTTATCGTATAAATTCAAATAATTTTTTTTTTTTTTTTTTTCATTTATAGTATTAATATTCTCACGCTTTTTTAGCTTTTTATGATTTTTATATATATAATTGAATGAAGTAAAAGCATTAATATAAAAATTTGCTTCTCCATTTTTAAAAAAAGGAATTATTTTATAAATAAATTTGGAGTTTTCATTTGTTAATATTACTGAAGTACCTGTTAATTTTAAGTTTGCCATATTATATAGTATTTCATCATTATTTCTATGTGAGTATTTTTTTTTTTTTTTTCTCTTTCTATTTTTATCAATACAAGGTAAATACATATTTATAATTTTGTATGCTTTATCTAATTTTCCCTTGGATAAATTTAAAAAATTAAAATTTTCTATAAAATTACTTTCATTATTGAAACAATCATAGTTAGTATCATCACTACTGCTTTCTTCATTTATTAGCTTAAAACTATTATAATTAAAGTTATAAGAATCATATATATTTCTTCTATTTTTAATTATATCATTTTCTATTATATAATTCTGTAGCATTTTCATTTTCATATCTTTTATATTATTTATGATAACATTTTTTTTAGTGAAAAAATTTTCATTTTTATCATAATCATTTTTAATACTATTATATAAAAGATTGCCATTTATAACATTAATATTTTTATTATTATCATTTGGAATATTATTTTTATCACTTTTATATTTCATATCATTTTCATTATTATTATCACTTTTATATTTTATATCATTTTCATTATTTTTATCACATTCATATTTTATATCATTTTCATTATTTTTATCACTTTCATATTTTATAACATTTTCATTATTTTTATCACATTCATATTTTATATCATTTTTTTTATCACTTTTATATTTTATATCATTTTCATTAGTAGACACATTTTTTCCTTTGTTATTATTACTTTCTTCTGTATTAATATTTTCTCTCTTTTTTTGATCTACAAATTTATTTTCGTATATATCTCTATTAATTCTATATTTATTTTTAGTGAAATTATTGTTCTTGTTAATTAATATGTGAATATTTTTCTCACTTGATTTTTTTTCATTGTTGTTAAAATTAAAAGATTCATTCTCTTTCCTTATGTTAGATAAATTTATATCTTTCATATTATAACTTTTAGAATTATTATTTGTATTATTATTACTATTTTTTATATAACTGTTACTACCACATGTTTTATATATTTCCCCTTCTTTTGATATACAAACTTTTTCATCCATGTTTTTTTTTTTTTTTTTTTAATTTTTTTGTTAATTCCTATTTTCTTATAAAATAATTTATCAAATATAAATATTACTTATATAACAAATTATAATAATTTTGGTCTTAAAAACAAAAAAATAAAAAAAAAATTAAATGTTCATATAGATAAAAGATTAATAATATAATTTCTTTTTTTTATTATCAAAAATAAGTTTTAATTATATTAATACAATTCAAAATAATGTTATTAATTATATATATATGTATGTATGTATGTGTAATATTATTTTATTTAGAATAATTTTCATAAATAAAATAATTAAAATATTAAAGTAAATTTTTTAAAATAAAATATACTTTAATTTCCAAATATTCATAAAACTTTATTAATAAAAAAAAAAAAAAAAAATATATATATATATATAATAAAAGACTGTTATTGTAATTTATCTATAAATTTTGACTTATTTTCTAATTTTTATTTTGACTTTCATTTAATAAAAAAAAAAAAAAAAAAAAATGAAAAATCTACTTCACCTGAAACATGGTGAATATGTATTAATATTTAAATACATTTTTTTTTTTTTTTCTTTTATTAAAATATTATTAAGATACATATTACTACAAAAATCTAACAACTTATAATGTGTGAATATATAAAAACTTTATATAAAAAAAAAAAAAATAAATATATTTTGAATACTATTTTTTCAAATTTCACAAATACGATACTTAATATTATGCTGTAAAATAATATTACAACTTTTAATATTTCTTGTATTTGTTATATTCATTTGTTTTTAATTTTTTAAAATATTATATTTAATTTTTGTATTTCATCATAATTTTTATAATATATTTAAATTCTGTTTTAATGTTTAATTTTCATATCCTATATATTGAAAACACATTTTTTTTTTTTTTTTGTTATCTTTATATATATATTTTTAATTTTGTGTTTATATTAAAAAACTTTTTTTTTTTTTTTTTTTGTTATATTTTTTTGTTTTAATCTATATAAATTTATGATTTATTTTTTTCAGTTTATATGTTAATTTTTTTTTCTTGTGTGTATAAAATACACAAAATTTTCAATTTCTGTATTTCTATATGAGCATATATAAAGTATAAATTTTTGAATTGGTTAACAAAATTAATTATTAAAAAAATTGAGAAAATTTTAATTTAGTTAATTTGAAAAAAAAAAAATGTTAATTTATAATAAAAAATAAGATAAAATTAAATAAAACAAAGTAAATTGCATAAAATCAAATTTATTAAAAAAACAAAAAAAAAAAAAAATAAAATAATAAAATAAATTAAATAGTTTCATTCTAATTAAAATTTATAGGCATTATAAAAATTCATATAAAAATATTTAAATTAGAATTTTTAAAATTATGAAAAAAAAATATAATATTATATATATATATATTTATTTATTAATTTATTCATTTATTTTTATTTTTTTTTTTTTTCTTTTGCATAGGTAATATAGCACTAAAAATTAAAAATTCAAAAAAATTTTCGAATAATCAAAGATAATTTATTGAAAAAAAAAAAAAAAAAATAAATAAATAATATAAAATAATTATAAAATAATACAATAAAAAAAAAAAAAGTAAATACATAATACGAAGTATATAAATTTAAATGTTTTTATCCAAGAAATTATAGAAAAAATGATGTGATTTTACTAAAATTAGAAATTAAAAACCAAAAAAAAAAAGTTCAAGTTATAATTTTTTTTATTTTTAATATTACCTTGCTTTTATGATTACTTTTTCTATTTTTATGAATTTAAATATTTTATGTTAAATTTTTTTTTTTTCTTCTTTTTTGTTTATTTTATTGAAGAAAATAAAATGTAAAAAAAAAAAAAAAATATATCTACACTTAGTTGAATAAAAACTAAAATAAAACATTAAATGAATAATATTAACAGAAGTTTTAATAATGTTCAATATATAAAGAAAGTGAATAAACGGAAATAAAAAGAAAAAAAAAATTTTATTTTTTTTAATCAATTTATAGAATTTAAAATGAATAAAGATACGTGTAAAGATTCAAAAAAAATTGAAAAATATCGTAGTAATCCTTTTACGAATTCAAAAGAAGATTATTACAATGAAATAATTCAGAAGATAATTTGTTCTATATTAGTTAGTAAAAATATCAAAAAAATAAATTGTTTAGTTTTTGATCTACTATTTGATTTTTTTATGAAAATAATTAAAACTATAGGAATAAATTGTAGAAATTTTTCTTTTTTAAGAGGAAGTGTGGTAGTTAATTATATTGATATAAAATGTTGTTTAAAGTTAGCTTTTAGCAATATATATAATGAAATATATACTTTAAAAAAGTATAATATGTTTAACAATTTTATATTTGATATAGTGGATAATGTGAAAAAATATAATTATATTAATGTTGTTCAAAATTCTTATTTATATTATAAACATTTATGTATGAAAAAAAACGAAAAATCTGATTTTTTAAATGAATTCAATAATATGAATTATTTAAATACAAAAAATTACTTAACCCTAGATTGTTCGTCAACAAATGAAAATGTTAATGTTTTATTTTTAAATGAAAATATAGATATTGAAAAATATAAGGAAATTATGAAATTAAAAAAAAAATATATGCATGATCATATGCCAATTATACCATTATCTATGAATATAAAAGAAAAAAAAACTGGATATATTCAAAAAATAGAATCATGTGATGATTTTTCTTCATCCAATTTATCATCTGAATCATCTTCCTCCTCTTCATCATATGAATCTAGTAAGGAATCAAAAAATTCAGATTATTTTGATGAACATGAGGAATACACAAATGAAGATATCTCGAAAGAAAAAATTGAAATATTGAATTTATTACCAAAATTAAAGGAAATATATATACAAAATAAGAAAAAAACAAAAGATTTGAAAAATTCAGAAACATTTTTATTTAACTCTATAAATACTTTTGAAACATTTGAATAGATACAAAAAAAAAAAAAAAAAAAAAAAAAAAAAAGAGTTTTTTATGAGAACAAAATTTAATATAAATCCGTCTTCTCATTTATACCGTAACACTTTTTATTAAAAAAATTATAATACTAGTAAAACTGCAATATAAACTTATTTTTTTTATTATAGAAAGGTTTAATCCATTTATTTGTTTTGAATTATTTTGAAATACACTGAGAATGCTATTAAAAGTATTTGCATTTATAAATGTAATTTTACTTAATTTATTTTTGTATATATTAATTTAATTAAATCATAATAAAGATCATATAAAATTATTCATTTGGAAAAAATGAAGAAATGAAAATATTTAAAAGAAATAAACAAAAAAAAAAAAAAAAAAAAAAAAAAAAAAAATTAAAATATTGTGGATTTATAATAATTAAAGTTATAGAATTCTATAAAATATTAATTATTATTACTTAATACACTAAAATTTGTTTATAATTTTTTTTTTTTTTTTTTTGAAAGGCTCAAAAATAATTTTACAAAAATAATAAACACATTTATATAATGTGAAAAATTATTACCATTATATCTCTAAATAAAAAAGAAAAAAATTATAATATATTTATAGATCTAATAGAAGAAAAGAAAACAAATATATACATATATACATATTTTATTGTTATTTAAAATTAAAGTAGAATGATAAACATAAAATAGATACAGAAGTTTCTTTCATGAGTTTATAAATATTTTAAAATTTATACTTTTTCTCATTTACTTCTATTAAATAGCGTTTAGAATTCTCTTATTGATTTTTGATGATTCTTATAGTAAATTTGAAGTATTTCTATTAAAAACTATAAATATAATAACATAAAAAAAAAAAAAAAAAAAAAAAGGAAATGAAAAAAAAAAAAAAAAAGATATATATGAGAAATTATTTTCAAAAAAATTGAAATGAATATATCATTTCTTTGATTCAAATTTTTATAAAAGTAATACAAATATGTATATGCTTTTTTCTTTTCTCTTTTTATTTTTTGATTTTACATTTCTCTTAATATCTTAATTTTTTCTTGTTTATATATTTTTTAATCTTATATATATATATATATATATATATTTAATTATTAATGGAAAATAGTTCCCTTAACTTTTTTAGATTCCTCTCTTTTTGTATTAAAAATGGATGCCTTTAAAAACTTTTTATTCATTTTTCTTATCATATTTTTCTTTTTTTTTTTTTTTTTATTTTTTTTTTTATTTTTTTTTTTTTTTTTTTTTTTTTTTTTTTTCTTTTTTTTTTTTTTTTTTTTTTTTTTTTTTCTTTTTTTTTTTTTTTTTTTTTTTTTTTTTTCTTTTTTTTTTTTTTTTTTTTTTTTTTTTTTCTTTTTTTTTTTTTTTTTTTTTTTTTTTTTTCTTTTTTTTTTATTTTTTTTTTTTTTTTTTTTTTTTTTTTTTTTTTTTTTTTTTTTTTTTTTATTTTTTTTTTTATTT